CCCCCTCTCTCTCTCCTCTTTCTCCTCTCAATCTCTGTCCCCCCCCCTCTCTCCCCCCCAATTCCCGTCTTCTTCCTTTTATTTCCCCTTACCCCCCTCCCCCCATTCCCCTCACCCAGCCGACTCACCTGCACCGAGACGCCCCAAGCGAGGTTGACGTCCTTCCTCTCGATGAAAATGGGGTCCTTCCCTGATTCTCGCAGGTCGCGGCGCACCTGCAGTTGCAACAACAGAGATAACCCACTCCACTTGTATACATGCCTATATGTATATAAATACACACACACATGTATGTGTATGTGTGTGTATGTGTGAGTGTGTGTGTGTGTGTGTGTGTGTGTGTGTGTGTGTGTGTGTGTGTGTGTGTGTGTGAGTGTGTGTGTGTGTGTGTGTGTGTGTGTGTGTGTGTGTGTGTGTGTGTGTGTGTGTGTGTGTGTGTGTGTGTGTGTGTGTGTGTGTGTGTGTTTCCATGCGGGAAAACAAATAGGTTTTTCTTTCAGCCTGTACACATACATCAAAGAGTAATAGAAGCAATATTACCTTGGCGATGAGGTAATCAACGGGGGAAATGGAGTTAGGGAAAGGTTTGTCCTTCAACCTCTGTTCCAGTCTTTCGTTGAGAACTTTAGTTAGTTTATCTTGTACCTGAAAGTATCAAAAATAGTTTTATACATATCAATTTGGTAATATCATTTTGCTTATATTTAAAGTGTTTTTAGCAAAAGAAAACAGTTAGAGATAGAGAAGTTGTTATGAGGAAGAAAGAAAACACATACACACACACACACAGAGTTGGAAAGACAGAGAGACAGAGGCAAATACATACATACATATATATATATATATATATATATATATATATATATATATATATATATATATATATATATATATATATATAGAGAGAGAGAGAGAGAGAGAGAGAGAGAGAGAGAGAGAGAGAGAGAGACAGACAGACAGACAGACAGACAGACAGACAGACACACAGAGACTGAGAGAGCCATAATCAGAGACAGATTTGCGAACAGGGGCAGAAACTGAATCAGAGACAGAAGCAGAGGGAAAGAGACAGAAAGACATAGAGAAAGGTAAAAACACAGACAGAGAGAAAGGTAAAAAGACAGAATGAGAGAAAGGTAAAAAGACAGACAGAGAGAATGGTAAAGAGACAGACAGAAAAAAAAACATAATCAGAAACAGAGCTCAGCAAACAGGGACAGAAACGACTCAAAAAACAGACGCATAAGCCAAGAGTGACACTCAAGGACCAACTCACCCCCCCAACGATCAGCGGCTGGATAATCGTGCTGAAGAAGGTATCTGCGGCGCCGACGAGGAGAGCATGTTCACCCCCAAGGCCTTCGAAGCCCAAGATAAGGTCCTCGTAGTTCAGCGTAATCTGGACGGTGGAAATAGGTCGTGAATGGATGGACAATACAAGGGAAGGTGTGTGTGTGTGTGGGGGGGGGGTGAAGAAGGGAGGGAGGGAGGGAGGGAGGAAAGGAGGGAAGGAGGGAGGGAGGGAGGGAGGAAGGGAGGGAGAGAGGGAAGGAGGGAGGGAGAGAGGGAAGGAGGGAGGGAAGAAGGGAGGGAGGGAGGGAGGGAGGGAGGGAGGGAAGGAAGGAAAGGAGGGAGGGAAGGAAGGAGGGAGGAGGGAGGGAGGGAGGGAGGGAGGGAGGAAGGGAGGGAGGGAGAGAGGGAGGGAGGGAAGGAGGGAAGGAAGGAAAGGAGGGAGGGAGGGAGTGAGGGAGGGAGGGAGGGAGGGAGGGAGGGAGGGAGGGAGGGAGGGAGGGAAGGGGAGAGGGAAGGAAGGAAGGAAAGGAGGGAAGAAAGGAAGGAAAGGAGGGAAGGAATAAAGGAAGGAAGGAGGGAGGGAGGGAGGGAGGGAGGGAGGAAGGGAGGAAAGGAAGGAGGAAGGAGTGACGGAGAAAATTAAGGAGGAAGGGGAGGGAGAGAGGGAAGGAGGGACGGAAGGCGGAAAGGAGGGACGGAGGGAGGAAAAGGAGGAAATGAGAGAGGAAAGGAGGGAAGGGGAGGGGGGAGGATGGGAGAAAGAGACGGAAAGAGGAATGAGGGAAGGAAGAGAAGGAGGGAGGGAAAAAGGAAAGAAATCAGGGAGGGAGGGAAGGAGTGGGAGTGCGATTGTTTGCAGAAGAGAAAAACAAGGCAAAGTGAAAATTGAAATGATTTTGTTTGGAAACAGATACAATATTTAGAAATATCAGTTATTCAAATTCATATATGTATATCAAAATTAATATTTTTTGAAAACCAGTGTTTGCATATTATCTATATATCTTTCCCTTCAATCTATTCACAACTATTGTAGTTATATCATCCTCTTTAAGAACCACAAGGCAAAACCTACCTGCAGTCCATCCACTATCAACAGACCATTGGTGTTGATGCCAAGCTGGAGGTTGAGTGCCACCTGGATGTCAGTCACGGTGATGTTGGCACTCCCAGCACTCGTGGACCACCAGCCGGGCCACTCGTACTGCCCCAAGACGTTGATCTTCGGGACGCTGATGCGCACCACGCCCTACGCGGGGAGGGGGGAGGGAGGGGGTGAGGTAGGTGTTGGTGAGGGGGGAGGAAGGGTAGTGACGATAACAGTGATGTAAATGCTAGTGCTACTACTGCCAGTGTGATGATAGATGTGGGAGAACAATATAACTAGAATAACATTGATAGTAATGAATATGATGATAATAATAGTACTCATAATAATACCATAAATATTAATACTGGTGTTACTGCTAATGATAATGACAATAACACCAACAGAATGATTAGCATAAGAGCAGTTATATGTATTCAAAAGCTATATAGAAAAAGAACTATGATCAGGCGTCCCTCTCAGCTGGGTTGAATCACCTTGGAGAGTGCAGATCGGTGACGTCACAAATGATTGCAAAATAGGAATCATGAAAATAACTTTCGGGATAATGATAAGGATTTTCCTATTAGCACTGATATTAAGAAATGAAGTAATTTAAATCACTCTTGCCTTTGAATAATAATAATAATAATAATAATAATAATAATAATAATAATAATAATAATAATAATAATAATAATCATCATCATCATCATCATAATAATCATAATAATAATAATAATAATAATAACAATAATAATAATAATAATAATAATAACAATAATAATAATAATAATAATAATAACAATAATGATAATAATATTAATAACAATAATAATAATAATAATAATAATAATAACAATAATAATAATAATAACAACAACAGCAACAATAATAATAATAATAAAATAATAATAATAATAACAACAACAGCAACAATAATAAAAATAATAAAAAATAACTGCTTGCTTTCTGAATTCACTACTATGATAAATATCAATAGTTACTAACTGTAAAGGAGCAACACAAGAGCTTAAAGTGTTGGACATTAATAACTATTCATCCATGTCCTTGGCTATGCTATCTTTTCAGATTCCATTGCAATGTTTGTTGTGCGTTGAAAGAGAACACTAACTTTATCGAGAAAGCGACCTTGAGATAAAAAAAAACTTTCTAAAACAATCTGTGCTTTAAAGATAGTATTAAAACACACTAATGAAGAACTTCTGTATCTCATTCTTTGAGCAGAAATGACACGTTTAAAATATATATAAATAAAAATGTTTTTTGAGGGGAATTTTCGTTGATATTGTTACTCTTACTCTTATTGGGCTTTGATCAACTTCTGCGAATCAGGGCGGCCAATACTGATGGGACCAAGGCTCTATTAATCTTAATTGTGATAGGGATGCCAATAGCTGCATTAGCAATAATAAAAAATAACTGCTTGCTTTCTGAATTCACTACTATGATAAATATCAATAGTTACTAACTGTAAAGGAGCAACACAAGAGCTTAAAGTGTTGGACATTAATAACTATTCATCCATGTCCTGGGCTATGCTATCTTTTCAGATTCCATTGCAATTGTTTGTTGTGCGTTGAAAGAGAACACTAACTTTATCGAGAAAGCGACCTTGAGATAAAAAAAAACTTTCTAAAACAATCTGTGCTTTAAAGATAGTATTAAAACACACTAATGAAGAACTTCTGTATCTCATTCTTTGAGCAGAAATGACACGTTTAAAATATATATAAATAAAAATGTTTTTTGAGGGGAATTTTCGTTGATATTGTTACTCTTACTCTTATTGGGCTTTGATCAACTTCTGGACGGCCAATGCTGATGGGACCAAAGCTCTATTGATCTTAATTGTGATAGGGATGCCAATAGCTGCATTAGCAATAATAAAAAATAATGAAAAAAATCATCGTTATTTCACAATAATAATTGCAAACGTATGACAGGTCTAGTTGATGATGACAATGGCAAAGGTACCAGTAACAGCGATGGTAATAGTCTTTCCTACTATAATAATGGTTAGGACAATGATACAGATAGCAATAACAAAAATGGCAATAACGATGATGACACTAAAAAGAAAAATAAAGACAAAAATGTTATTAGTATTTTCATTGTTATCATTATTATAATTATTACTAATATTATCATTGTTATTATTATCATTGTTATTATCATCATTATTATTACATCATTGTTATCATTATCATTATTATTATTATCACCATCATTATCATTATTATTATTATCATTATTATCATCATTAATATTATCATTGCTATTGTTATTACTATCATAACTATTATCATTACTATTATTTTCATCATTATCATCATTATCCATCGTCTTCAGAATCATCACTTTTATCGTTGTTATCATTATAATGTTCATTATTGTCATCATCATCACTATTATGACTGCTATAACAATAGCAGTCATAATAGTGATAACAATAAGAAAAAATGATGATAATGACAATAGCAATAACGATAATGATAATAACTACTACTACCAATAATAATGTCAATGATGATGAAGATGATGATGATGGCGATGATGATGATGATAATAATGACAATAATGATAATGTAAGTATTAA